GTATGAGTTTAAGGTACTACTTTCTAGCTGCTTCGGCTGCAATGGTGAGATTAGGATGAACCGGGGCGTATCGTTACGTGCGGGCTTCTAAGTGAAAAACGTCGCGCGCGACAGCTATTCAGCCAGCATGATCCGCAGCAATAGTTCCAGTTTCTCATCCTTCGTTGAGGTTCACAGACTATTCTCATATTAGTTTTGCTTAATTATTTAAGTTCTGCCACAGAAGTTGTAATGAGCTTTCTAAAGGACAAAAAGACCCAAACTGAAGAAGGTAAAAGACTAACAACACAGAAGAAGCATTGGTAATCTAGTGGTATAAATCTGACAAGTTTTCTGCACTGCTGCCTCCCGCGTGCGGTTACTGTAACGCTGCGTTTCGACGTTTTCCATTTGGTAGCCCGCACGTAACGAGCGCCCCCCGAATGAAGCCTACTGCAATACAAGTTTACCTTGAGAAGAAGGTAGAATTTAAGGTAGAAGGTACCTCAAGGTATAATTTCGCATTCATCAAAATTTGTCTCTCAAGGTTATACCTGCGCCAGAATAATAAACACTGACATTTTCTCAGAGAATGGCATGACGTACTTGCGGTGAATTGCTTTTTTTCATATCTGCATGGTATTTACGCGAGGATACTTATGTTTTTAGAGTGTGAAGCGCTACAGTTGGTGAATTGAAGAGGATAGGGTCCACAAGTTCAACAATTCTAGGTTTCAACGTCTATCCGGGATTATCTACTTCTAAGTACAACTTATTTGATCTTGAACTCTCTGCTGCGATGCCTACCTGCCTGAAGAATGTTGTGTTCGTTCGGCATCAAACGATTTCCACATTTTTGACATGCTTCATAAAAGTGTTCGCAGAAGTTGTTTCATATTGCATTCGCTGCAGCCAATGGACTGCAGCAGCGGCATCCAATCGACTGCTGCATGCAACAATTATACGATAACAGTTTTTTTAAGCCCTTCTGAGTGTAAGGAGGACGCGCGATGTTTAGTGAACTATTTTTGCTCAACATTCTTTCCAAATCACGGAAACATAATTTTATCAAGACAGCTTGTAAATGTGAAACGAAATTTTGTGATGAAACGCTTTAAGAACATTCCAATGTTTGCATTACAAACTTATACATCAAAGCCAACATCTAATTATGTGAGTCGAAATTGAATGGATAACCAAAGTAAATGAAGAGCAAAAAGTTAGAATTTTTTTGCTAGGCTAGTGAACTTTCTTTCTATCTCTTTTTTCGGATCACTAGAGTCGAACCTCATTATCTGTTGGAATGCTGGCCCACATGCTCCTGAGTGATATAACTTCAGCTGGATTTGAGTTGAGCAACTGAACAAGCTAAAGAATTGCGCTACACGAAGGTCAACACTGGCTTTTCTTGAATACAAAGCTTGCGAAGCGATTGTTTCTGGGTTACACAATTTTGTGCTTGCCGTTTCAGTGTGCTATGCTCAAAATACTGTTTGATAAGATTGGAGCAAAAAAGGATGTGTTTGACTTCTCTGTTTCGGTACATCAGCTTCACAGGCGTTTCAAAACACTCACAGCAAATCCATGATTAAAGAGAAGTGTATACCAAATCCTTTACATCTATAACTTTAGCTAATCTCAACGAAATTAGACAAAATTGCTGCAATGGGTTCAGTCTTGCCACTGCAGTATTCGTGTGAAAAATCAGCCTCTAAAACCTTGTAGATTTCTAAAGGTATCACTTATAACCTTGCCTTTTGCTAGGGTTAGAGTTTCTATTGCGAATGTACCTTGAGGTAAAGGTATCAAGTTTAAATACGGATTTATCGTTGATAAGCCTGCCTTGAGGTGGAATTCACCTCAAGGTATCATCTACTCCACATGAAATCATTTTCAAGGTTGATTCAACCTTGAGCATTTATCTCAAAGTATATCGATGAATACGGGTTTTGAGTGATAATCCTACCTGGAAGTAGGATATACCTCAAGGTAGCAATGATGAACACGGCCACTGAATTTATCCTGTAAGTTTCAATTTGTAGGACAAAGCAAGATGTACCGTCTTACTCAGCAGATGCATGGCATAGTAATAGTAGGGAATAGTAAAAAAAACGGTATTTTTCCGTTATCCGGATCCATTTTTTCAAAGAAGGATATTGCTTCTTTCCTTGTATCATTATTTGCTCCTAAATTCACAGGAAAGGAGTGTCAACCTTTTGCCACGTGTCAAAAAAAATTTGACATGTCATCCACATGTTCAGCAGGTTTTACCAAGAGTTTGTATTGCCCTACCTACTGACTTAAGTTCAATCGATTTTTCAATCAATAATGACCCCATTTTCGAGTAACAATTTCAAAAATAAATATCATTATGATTATGACGTTATTCTATTATTAATGAACAGACTCGACTTGCTCAGAATAGAGAATTGTAATAGATTCTCATCATTTTAGCGGCGAAACAAGCAGTAGCGAGGTACTTCAGCCATCATTTACAGTCCTTCTTGGCTAAAATAGCATGGCGGACAGATTATGAAGAGAAAGTCATTTTTGAATCATTCCTAAAAGCAACAAATGTCCTAATATAAATTCTAAACTGTTTTTCTCTTACAGAAACCGATAAACAGCTTTTAGGTGATCATGCATGCTCTTTTATCACACCGGGAATACTTACGAAAAAAACATGTCAAATTGGACCAAAACGTGTCAATTTTTTTCTGCCACGTGGCAGAGAGGCGGTCCTCGTAGAATCTATAAAAAATTGTTCTCAAACTAAATAGCGTATTCATGAGAGCTTTTTGAAAAAATGGGTCCGGATAACGGAAAAGTACCAAAAAAACTGTTTCTTGCAAAAAATTATGCAAGCAGCAGATTTGGACTGCGACAATGAAAATAAAGTATGTGATCAGGATTCTCCCACCACAACTCGTGAGTTCGCCTAGCAAGCCTGAATGAGTAAGATGACAGTCATTGGACGAGAAATTTGTGCGATGAGGCATGAGCTGTTTCTTAGCTTTTTTAGAGGTAGAACAGGGTGGATCAGGCGGTGAGGCGGGAAGCACAATGTGACATCCATAACGAGTTGACAGCACATGCAATTGTTTAGACTTCTTATCAACCAAGAATGAATTTGCTAACTTTATTATGATTGAGATTTTGAACACACTGTCTAACTTTTTCTAAAGACTTTGTTTTTCTTTCTTTTCGATTCTGTTGAAGAGAACCATAGTTTTACATGCAGAAATTGCAATTCTATCATTCATGTCGGATTGATTGTCGGATCGCAAGAATTAGAAATTCCCAAATGTGCAACAGTTCCAAAGTTAGTGGGGATAGTAAAGGTAAAGATAGTAAAAGCCCACTTTTGTGTGAATTAAACATTCGCGCAGGTAATCGCAATATAACAAATATAAGATGAGCTCATATACGCCTCCTCAATCAAGAATAGCTTGACTGCTGTTTGCTTTTTCAGACGGCTTCACAACTTTTCAACTGTGGCAGGAAGTGTTTCGCTTGCACTAAAGTTCCGCACTAAGATGGAACAACTCTTTTTTCTGCTTTAGTGTTGAGCAGTGAATGACGAGGAAATTTAGTAGGTCGCGCTGGAAATTTAGAAGTTTTTAAACCCGATCTGCCGAATTCTAATCGCTTGTCTCTTGTGGAGAAAATACTTCAAACTATATAAAAAACTGCGGTCGTTACAGCTGAAAATAATAGCCAATGGTGTAAGCTGCAAAGAGGAAGGTAAGATAAGCTAACTAGAAATCTTGAATTCTTGTGTCAAACCAAGCTAATTCGTTTCACCTTTTTCGGCTATTTCGCATTCGGTGGTTTATATAGGTAAATATTAGGAAAATGGACTAGCATCTAATTTTCTTGTGAAACCAGCCAAATAATTATTGATTGGGGATTCTGATTTGACACGATGTGTGTAGGGCATGATCTCGCTGTCAATGTTCCCGCCTGATTCTAAGCAGGCAATGCACTGAAATTTTTGCTTCGAGCCAGCAAGTTCAGTTCACTTCATACATATTACTGCACTTCCTCCTGTTATGTGGTGTTATAGAATCACCAAATCTTCGTTTTTATTGTATTAGGTTCATGCAAAAACAATGCATGTTTTTCTAGGCTCTTTTTGCCGAGGATTTTTTGTCGCAAATTTCCTTTTAAAAACAGGTTCTTGCATATTGGAAAGTTCCGTTCATGTTCTTCTAATGGTGATTGGAACAGATCTAGACATATTTCTTGAGATTTTACACTTTACAACGTCACAGCAGCACTCACAATCACAATTTTTATTGCATTTTGGCTAGTGTTCAAGCGTTGATAAATGCATTCTTTTGGAAAAAACAGCTACTATTTATGTGTGATATCATCTACATGTCTCGCTGTTAAATGTTTTTTGAAACTATGTAGACCGATAAATCGACTCCAAGACTGATAGATGGGCTATTATAGCTTGAAAAATTCTTCCGAAAGTGGTAGTCGCCAAACTTCCGCCGCACCTCGGTGACACTTTTTGCAAAAAAAAGTTGGCTGTTTAGTGCACGTAGAATAAATTTGTTTAATTTGTTCAACTTTTCGGAGCCTGCTTTGAAAAGGCTCAAAAATCAGACTATTTCAACTTTTGTTTTTCCTTTTCGCTGGTCTCTTTCGTCCAAGACCTTTTGATTCTTATACTACCAGTATGCGGCTACAGTATGAGATATTACAAGACATACTAATGAAGTTCGAACGGAGTTATAATTTATAAAGGTGACGTTTCGTAAAAAAATGCATTCAATAATCCCTCTAAGCTTTTCTGCTGGTCTGTAGTATCAGCACGATTGAGTATAGGCTAGATTTCGAAGGGCCTAGTGCATCCGAAAGTCTTTGTTGTATTCAAGAATATGGAGATTTTAAAAAAAAGTATAGAAAAAAACCATGCTAAATTCGCGTCATTTTGCACCAACCTACTACATAATTGAGGATTAGTGATTAGTTAATTGTGGTGATTTCAATCTTATACCGCAGTATTTCAGCATGCTACGACTCTTTACATTCTACATACTAATCACCATTGTTTGTTCACAGCAATATCAACCAATGAATGTGGGATGCGGATTCAGTAAGTTTGACCTCAGTTTTTAGAAAGATTATGTACTAAAGCGTCCGGACTTAAGCGTATTGATAGGGTAAAAATGCAACTTAAAGTCAATCTTTTCTGCTTCCAAACTGGATCAACTAGCCAGATCAATGGGGTATAGGTTTCTCATCACACATCGTCTTGATTTTTCCGTCTCACCAAGCAGCGCAAGCGAATGTATTTACAAGGCTCGGCACAGGTGTCTTATAACCAAGCTGGGTATCGTTTTTTGGACAAAAAGCAAAGGGGAGATCGTTTTCGTGTCCGGAGAAAAACACAACCTAGGTCACGCTTTCTTCAGTCGTCGTTTCTTTTCTTTTTAGGGTTTTCTACATTTAGGGTTTAGGGTCAAAGAGTAGTTCGTAAAAACGTCGCATAATTTCGCGAAAGTCAAGGGAGAATTCGCTTTTTGCATCTTCGGAAAGCCACCTGTTGCCGAGACCCGTATAGGTAACCTCTCATGTAACCGTTTCATGGCAGCTTTCCTCTGCGCAAACTGTCGAAGATTTTTTTCTATTATAAAAAATGGTATTAATGCAATTCTGTAGATAGTAGCAATCACATGCGAATGTGAAATACAAACGTCCGGAAAATGTCGAAATCTGAATCACATTGCAGTTAGTAAACGAGATTTTTTCCTTTATCACAGTTGTTGGGATACCTTCATCATCTTGACAATATTATCTAAAATTTCGCATTTCTGTAAAACTGACGCTGGAAACTGTGTCAAAAATCTTGTTTCTATTATATACTTTGTAAAAACCAAATATAATATTTTGCTCATTACTTCAAGCTAACATGCCTTCCTCCAAAAAATAAATACATCCTAAAACAGATCAGTTCAACTGAAACAATAGGCATATCATTTATACCATTTTGAGTTAATCAAAATTAAAATCCCAAACATAATGTGAGATTTCGCTGTTTAACCTGCTTAGTTGCAGTTACAAATTTTCTTCTTCATTTTTGCTGGTTCAAATGCTCTGGCAATTTTTAGCATGTACCAAAAAGGCGCAGTTCATCACTTTCATGGATGGAACATTGACATCAGCGTCTTGCACGACCAGCTTAGCTGATCCTCGCTACCGCTGCCTTGGTTGCTGCCAGTCAAGAGCTCTAATCGCTGGACTAGCTGCAGTAAGAAGTTTTCCAGATTGAAGTTCTCTTTTGCATGACTGAGGCTTTCTTTGCAGGCTGATGCTACTGGTTTTCCCTCGAATAATGGAGTAGACTGCATCTGCTGCTTTTATAACAAATGCAGATAACCCAATGAGCCTTTTACATTTTGATTAGCACAGATTTGAAATATAGATAAATAAATAAAGATTTAGAAGTTCACTCAATTGACAAAACGATGTTGAGTGTGCATCAAATTTTGAATTTGAACATTGCTATCGATTTATTCATCGATTGTCAGGTTTGAAATGAGGGTTACTGTTTCCTTTCACTACTTCCTAAACTACTTTTTTTTTCAATCAAATAAGCAAATTCGCAAGCATTTCGCCGTTTCATTTGCATCGAACCATTTACTTCGAACTTTAGACTAAACAATGGCAAACGATGAATAGTTGTTCTGAGGATCGACTTACATTCTTGAGATTAGTTCACTACATCTTGCACATTATCAACGAACCATCTGAAAGAACTATTCAAGCTCCATATGGCCCCATTGAAAAAAACAAGGAATATTTTTGCGCCTTCCCCTTAATCGAAAAGTTTCTGATACACTATTCTCAGAAAGCGTCTGCAGATGAACGCTATATCTACTTACAATGTGTAGTTATTAAAAGCACTTAGTATTTGTAAGCAGACTTCCCACTGCAGAGAATGCCTTTTTCTTGCAAATAATCTATACAAGCCCTGCCAAAGACATAATGTCCGGCTTGAGATCTACCTGAACTCAGATTATTCTAAACCAAGAATATAGAACATAAATGTCAATTACTCAGCAAAGACTTTTTTTCATGATACTGTTAACGCCCGAGTTTGAGCTTTGAGTAAGATAAGCTATAAGAGCTTTCCATGCATTCTTGGGTGTTTCTGAATTAGCAACGTGATTCAATTCTTTGTGTCAAGATACACATGTGATATTAAAAGACTGTGACATGTGATATTAAAAGACTTTCTACGAGATAACATTTGGCTAAAACCTTTGCTAAATACGAGGAAGTTCGGAAAAAAGACTACAATTTGACATTTCAACCAAATATCTGTTCAAATGCACCAGTGTGTTGAACTAAAAATTTATGTAACAATCTAAACTGAACGGCAGGCTGTAGTCATGAGATTAAAATAATGTGAGAATTGTTAATTTAGTGCAGCATTATTTGCGACAGAAACGATCCTACAAATCGCTTATTCATTCAGTTTCGCTTCAAATGCACCATAACCACATGATATTTTCACCTACACAAGATGTGAAATTTTGGCAAGAGCATAGCAAGCACTAGTTTAGATAATTGCAAGGAATATCAATGTGAATAAGATCTCAGGATATGCGAAATCATGATCCGGACACAACCATCGCAGAATTACATAGGGAATCCGTTGACTATTGTGAGAGCAGCTTTTCCCATTCTTCGAAAAGTTTCACCGGATCTTCTCGTCCCTTCTCCTGAAGCTGTGACTATAGTAAACAAGTCTGATTAATGTCAGAATTATCAGTTTCTCAATTTTCAATCCAGTAAAGTTATTTGTAACTTAAAATGTACATCACGCGCGTTTCTTCACGACACGAATGTTTGAAGCTCGCTAATTTCCAGTAATTTCCAATTGTTTTCTTTTCTTTGTTAGTTTAGCGAGATAAGTAGCAGGTAGCAGTTCACAAGTGAACAGTTCGTTTTGCTAGAAGTTTTACTAACGATATTACGGTATACTGATAAAGTGTCATGGACTACGCGCATAGTGTGTAGACTCACACTTAAGTTACAAATACCTCTCCTTCAAAGTCCAGTTTTGCTCAATCTCAAGGGCCCAATATATTTTCAATGATTATGCCTGTCAATATAACTTGTTAGGTTCTATTGACAATGTATGTTGAAAACAATACTTGTGCCCAGAATATGGCGGCGGAAGCAAAGATTATGCATAGTGGCAGTTTTTGCGCGCAAGTGTTGTCAGCACTGCAATGGCACTGTTCCAAAATCTAACTCGACTAGACTAAATTCTTGACTATGTCCTTCCTGATACTCTATCAAAATCTGCGAATGTTTTCACCTGTACTTGATTGCGAGCGTCATCAACAAGCACAGAACCGTCCGGTTTCAGTACCCTCAACGCAGGAATTGTAGGCACTTCATATTTGGCAAGGAATTCCCTGTAGAGGTCATCAATAGATAAAACGTGATTTGAGATCGCCATGGAAGAGATGCCAAAAAATGTCTTCATGCTTACGGTATTCGTTCATCTCCGAATGGAAGGCCCAACCAACCGCCGCAGTGTTCAGTGAGATACTCCTAAAGCAGTTGTAGATAAAACATGAAAACAAGTCATCAAAAGAAATCTACCTTCAGGTCTTCATCTTCGCGATCTCTCGATACTAAAATAATCTCCAGATTCTTACCAGCTTCCTTGAGCTCTTTGTAAAATCTCTGAATATGTCTCAATCACATCAAACGTCAGAAAACAATCTTAAAATTTGAACAGCTACTCAGCTACGTCTCAACTGACTCTTTCATTCACTCTGTCTGGTGCAAGCAGCGAAGGTTAGAATAATATATGCAAAATGAGATTTTTTCAGGCTCTCAACCTATCCAAGATGCACTCCCGTCCGCGTCGGGATGCACTATGTACGTCCCAGTCAGAACAAAATAGCATGATGTAGGAATATGTAGGAAAAGGTGATTGATCACATTCAAAAATAACTCCACTTTCTTGTAGAGGAAAGAAGATTGATCACATTCCATGATGCTGCCCTGTGTAAAGAACAGCAGCTTGCACTTGCACAAAAACATTATCGTTGTTGGAAAGAGATTTTATATAAAAATGAATGAGGATAGGACTGTACTAAACTTATAAGAACGAATTTGATGCTAAACAAAACTGGAACATAGGGCGTATAGGTGCATATGGAACATTGATGTCTTTTTATTTCTGCACTCAAAATGGCGGTGGAGCTTATGTTCAATCGTAAACCGACATAATAACGGTCAACAGATTCGCATTCACTTGGTTCACAATGACAAGGAAACCCCAAAAATAAGAATAGTCTCTTTTTTGACTGTTATCAATATCTAATCGGATTAGGAATTTCAAAGGATTTATTGTCGCGGCTCGCGATCGACCGCTCCTCACAGCATGTGGCCGGGAGCACCGTGTTGCCGCGCGTCTCGGTCGTGGGCACGGTCGCCGCGCTTTACGGCGGCTACCTTGTTCGCTCCGAGACCACACCATGTAGGCACGCCCCCAGCCACCGCTATAAATAGCCGCGTATGCGCGCCAGTGCGGCCTCTCTCGTCTTGTCATCTTACTATTATCGTCGTGCCGCCTTTATTATTGATTGGTTGGGTTTCTACGATATCGCCGTCGTGTCTACGTCCCCGTGCCTCGCGCGATTGGATGGACTGTTGATGGATTGTTTGGATGTACGCGCGAGGATAGAATTCCAGGATGATGAACATCACGAAGCGCCTTGATCGCGCAGGATTTGTTGGGAGCTTTGTTCGATGCTGTTGGTTAACATCATGGGGTCGGTGTTGCCGTGCCGTAGCTGCTGCCTTGGCGGCGCGCGGCCGGCCTGTGTGTAGCTCCCTTGGATTCTGGGAGAGTGTGTGAGTGTGCTAGTGTGTGAGTGTGAGTAAGGTAGAGTCCCCATCGGTAGCCCGGGGTAGAGCTTAACTCTCCCCGTGGTAAGTATATTTACATTTATTTATATCGTATATTCTTTTCGTGTTTATTTGTGTAGTAAATTTATGTATTTCTTATTGTTTCGTGCAGTGTAGGCGTAACGCGCCATCGTGAGTTGGCACCACCCGCAGTGGCGGAAGTCCTTTGGGGACAGAGCTGTGGCGTAAGGCAGTCGAGCACTAGGTGAGGGGGCGCAGAGCCCACCGAGCCGCAACATTTATAGTGCAAAGGCCAAACACAGTCAGGGGAAAGGTTACCCTACAGAAAAATGCATTTGTTTGACTTCTTCATATTTGAGCCGAATCCAAACAAAATTATGAGCATCGTCTGCTTCCAACATTCTTTCTAACGATGCAAAAAAAAACAGTACAAATAAAGTATTCTATTCGCTAAGCATCTAGAGTGGAATGTGGACATTGTTTCCCAACCATTCAATTTATTGGAAGCTCAGAATATTTTCCTGAACCTACTTTTGGTCGTTTCGTCAGTAGGAGAATCATGTCTTGGTAGACACTTCTCAAGCTGATTTTTAGCAACATCAGGAAGTAAGGTTTATAATTGGATAGAACGTGATACACTAAATGTTACAGGATATCAGCTTCTTGAACGCTCTCTTGAATGTTTGTGTGGAATGAAAGGGCTGTAGTGCCGCCATATTTATTGAGATAAAAATGGACTCACTGATAGTTTTGGCGTAAACTGACGACAAGAAGGGCACCACATCGCCGAGAAGTACAAAGCGATGACCTGAAAAGCGCGATAGAGGTCCCTTCGACTTAAATTTCCTAATAAATTCTTCAGAGTCCAAGTCCATGAGAAAAAGATTATGGCAGCAATTTGCTTTGATACGAATATTTGTTTGCTAATTTGATGAGGACCTTCATTGATTTTGAATCGATTCTTCAACTTCTCAACCGCTTTTTGTTTCATAACTAGTAAAATTTTGACCAAGCTAGTAATAATGTAATTTGTCTTACTTCATCATGGTAGTGTCAATTGACACATTAATTTTCAGAATCGAAAAAAAATTTTCGAGAGAAAAGTTTTACATTGGCATGACGTGAAACAAAATCAGATTCCAACCTTGCCCTCCAGAGCAGCCTGTGCATCGCATTCCTCTCCATCAGGACCGAGAAGTGGCTTTCCAACAAAAAGTTCCATATCCAATCTCAAAACAATTCAAATCTGAAAAAAAATTCTTGGCAAACAGAACTTCGAGATAAATTAGAAGATAGGAGCGCAGAGAAACTTACAAGGGAATGGTCAGAAATCGAAGTGGCCAATTTGAGCAAACTCCATACCGTTAGATGCAGCATAAAACGCTGACTCTAAATATGCTTTCCTTATCTGCAGAGCGCTTTTGCGGATGAAATTATAAGCCGTTAAAGGTCATTATTTTGCTAAGAAATCGTGCGTGTAAAGGTCAAACTTAGCCGTACAGAGCCCTCTTGACTTAGTGTTGGATCAAAACATGCAACTAGGTCTCTTCACATGGTCCGCACTCAAAGATGAGCTAAAAGGGCAATAGTGTGCTTAATATCGCAATTTTTGTGTGCGATTTTTTCGCAGGAAGGCTGCTCATAAGTTCGCCTACAAAGGCGCTCTGCAGATAAGGAACGCAGATTTGAAATCAGCGTTCTATGCTGCATCGATTGGTATGCAGCTTGTTTAGGTTGGCCACTTCGACTTCTGACCATTCCCTTGTTAGTTTGATAAAACATGGCAAACGCGAATGAGCGAGAAAATGTCATTCTTGCTTCCCAAATCAAGACTGAAAGTCAAGAGAATGTTTTTGAACAAAACAATTACTGCAAAGGCAGAGAGATAATTGGGATATCACAAACTTAATTGCTACCACTCACTTATTTTTAAGAGTGAAGCTCTCCTCGAGCTTTCAAGAGCATATTCTCACCGCGACAAATCGCCGAGAAAAACTAGAACTGCTTTGCATTTTACCAAATTTTCGCTTTCCGGTTGCCCTTTTTCGGCCTTTCCGTGCAAAAAAAAACGCTTAGGACTTTAAACACAATGCTTCCGCATCAAAGGATCTGAACGAATTGCCTGTGGGTTAAGATATACAGGAATGGTCTAGACCGAATTCATGTGCCATCAAATCTATACTGACGGGGAGGGAAAGAAAATTTCCAGCGTGTTACAGCCAAACTGCCATGCTTAAGCCCACTGGTTATTCCGAAAACGAGGGGAAGCGATTTAAATAGGGTGAGAGGAAGAAGACCCTGTTAATTCGATAATATTAAGTCGATCCGAAGTTCCATCGTTCCATTTTCGAAAAATCGTAAATCTTTGCTATATGAACAAATTTGCTTCGCTATAATTTTGTTAGAAAAAAGAAGCCTTCTACTTTTCAGTACTATCCTAGTAACTTCTTTCGAGCTGCAGAGATTTAATAGGATGAAGATCATTCAGGTTTTGATTTGAGATAGGCCGTCAAAGATCTGAGACGTTGCAGAAAAATACGAAATCGCCAGGAACTAAGGAAAGTGACAAATGAAGTAATCGTTTCAAAGTTCAAAGGGTAGGTCATGACCTACCCTTTGAACTTTGAAGAGTTTGTGCTCTTTGAGTGTTTCTGTGAAAAGCTATGAATTTCGAGTTTACTACAGAAAACGCAGCGATTACCCTATTTTCCGGCGTATAAGCCGCAGTTATTTTCGTCGCGCGCGGGCTGATGTGCGAAGCCGCACAAGCAGCCACTACCACCTATCTTACCTAGTAGCCTGATTGTAACTTTCAGCTTTCGCTCTTTCTTGTGAAAGCATTGAAAGCACCATTGAAACACCAACATCATCATCAAAATCATTAAAATCAAATGAAATAGCAGCAGCTTTAACTTCAGTAACATCTTTATAAACAAAAGAAAACACCGTCAACTCCATTGTATCCTAGAGGAAAAACACGACCCAAACACCCCAAAAACGTCCGAATCTCTGGAAAGAATAAAGAAATACCGAAGACGTGAATATGCGCAATGAAAAGCAGTCACAAAATGCAGCGAGTTTTCAGTTTGTTAGTTCAAAAACTTTCTTTTCGAAGGCTCTTTCGCGCCATTGTTCGCCGCGGCGGGTGCGGCTTATATATGGTGCGGCTTATAAACCGGAAAATAGGGTACTTGATTTGTCAGTTTTCTCGAAAATCATAACCTCTCGCAGAAGAGTCCGAACAACACAAGCTTTTTTATGTACTGACGATTTCCGATTTTCCTGTAGCGTCCCATATTTTAGTGACCTAATTTAAAGTGATTGGATTATATGGTTTAGTTCCATTTTTACAGCAGCCTGTGCTTCATTAGGCTGCTGATTCATCTGATGTGCGAAATCAAAACCAATAAAAATGTGACTTCTATCTATTTCATCGAAATTTTGTTTATAATATCGTTCCCGATCAACGAAAATTACTGTTTCCTTTTTATATCTTTGCATGTGCGTGCGCAAATAAAGTAACAAATAGAACGATTTCCTAAAGGAGCCCTTACCCATCTGACAGCATGTCCTTCTAAAAGCTTACATTAAGGCTGATCCTAAACCGTTACCAATAGAACCAGCGCATCAAGAGCCCCCTCTTTCTCATTGCACCTCCTCTTTGCGAAATTGGTGATTTTTTGGTGATTATTGAAATGCTGAATCCATTCGATTTTTTGACATTCACCTTCAATGGGAAATACTGATTGTTTGGACCTTTTGTATTGAGATCTACTAGGTTCTAATAATTTAATTCGGTTTGATATGCAACTTCGAAATTTTCTAATAATTCGAGTAGCAGATATTTAGCTGAGAATTTTTTGCAAAGGGGCAAGCTTTATTTCCAGGCATTCACTCGTGGAAGTCAGTTTCTGGGCAAACCAGATCGCTCGAATTTGACCATCTATGGTTGTGCAAATGGTTGCAAATTTCATAATTTGTTGTGTGGATGCTAGCCGCACGTCTTATACCCAACTTCACTTCGTTTTTCGGAGCATGATTTTTTGATGCAAATGTCTAACTATTCCACTTTCCTTACAATTTCATTGTTAAAATGATGACTGGCGCTCGAACAGATCATCCAGTTTTCCTTGATTTCCTCTTTTCAACGGTATCTTACATTCTTACATAGATTGATTTGTAAAATTTGCAAAACGTTAAAAACGACTGAATTTATTTTTTAGCCGACCTAATATTTTCGTCCTACATGTACAAGTTTCCTTTGCAATATAAATTGGTAAGTTTTCTCCCCCCCCCCTTTCGTGGGAAATTAGTTTTATAACATCCAAAGCTGACCACCAGTGGGAGCCTTTGGCAAAAGTTTTGCAGCAACTAACAGCTATAAAGGTAAAATATGTGCAAAACCCGGAATTGTAGTCGCAGAAGGTTGAAGAAGTGAAACTGGATAAGTAAAAAAGTGGAAGAGGAGTGAAAAGGCAAAAAATTAACGAAGAGTGATTACCCTTCTGCAAACGAGGAGGGACTGACCCAATGCGAATTTCACCATTCAAAAACCTAAATGAAAATAAACGGTACATCTCCAACGAATTCATCAACGAGATAGGAGTAGAAAACCAATTTTATGGAAGGGGAGGGGAGTGTAGTAGTATTCAAATTAATCTAACTAAATCGATCAACACACATTTAGCTAAAGCTCCACTAGATTTGCTTATCGAAAAGATAACCTTAACTACTACATTCAGTACATACTATTTGAACAAGTATAGGTCATTTATAAAAGCGACTAAGACGACGGATTTGACTGCGGTCCTTGTGCCCACAGGAGGATAAAACGCGCATACAGAACGGCATCACCTCAACGCTTAGCTCAGTCACTTCTAGTCTCCAAATAATATCATATGGAAGCTGAAAAAACCATTCGAGCAGAGATGAAAATCAAGAAATTGCAGCTGCCGGAAGTTGCGTGCGCGTCGCGAGCGGTCGCGCCATCGTCACGATTTTTTGAATGCCCTATACAACGATTTTACAGCTGCGATATGGCTTGGTCAACTATTAAAAGTTTGAATTGCGAAGAACTGGAACTGGAAGTCAAGCACGAAAGCATATCAACAGTCAATACCAATCTACGACTTATTTCCAGGTATTTGCCTGCATTTGGCGATTACGTAAAAGGCCAATTACTTTAACGAGTTTAGCATTTATAGCGAAATGTTATCTTTTGAGCGAGTGTATATCGTGACTTACACACGTCCAGCCGCAAATAGAATATCTACTTAAAGGTTTGCATGCTCAACAAATCGAAAATTTGCGTGCACCTTGCTGATTTACAGATATGTTTTCAAGAGAACGGGATGTTGCAAAAGTCAAGCATTTGGCACGATTTTCAAGGTAAAGAAACTGTGCAGTTGAAATTTTGCAAAAGATATCTTCTGGAGAATTTTTTTCCCGTGACTCGAAATGCCACTTGCACAGAATTTTCTGTAGAAAAAAAGTTGGGCATTTTTGCACTGTGCGAATATACTGCATCATATATTATCAACTTCTTTGTAAAAACTTACCCAAGAGTTATAATTCTAAAAATGCGTTGTCAGTGAAAATAAACGAAATTTACTTCATACGAACAGCACAAGAACATAGCAGTCAAATGACATAAAGTTGGTTGGCCGGAATTTGGAATCACAAAAACTTTCTAAGAGCCATTACTGCAGCTTATCGACAGAAGTTGGACAGCATTGACCTTGAAAGAGTGCGCAAACACTAGACTGTCTGTCATAGCGAGATTGTGTATCAGAGACCACAGTTCACAAACGAAAAGTTCAGAAAGATGTGAAGGGAGAGATTTTGATAAGGAAGTACATAATAAATGCTCTGAGCGGCTACAGGACAAAAAATTTCGCGACAAGCCGTTTTGTAGATTGTAGTACAAGTTAAACGAACAATCACGGTCAAAAAATTCTGTGCAGCACTTTATTTGGAGAGTTTATTACCCTGATAGGAAAGACAGCGCAGTTTGGACTAAGACCATAACTTTGAATTCGACAGACTTGGCGGTCGGGCAGGAGGCAGCAAAGGCTAGCCGCTTTTGCTCATGGAAGTACCTGGAGAACTTCAGATTTTCTCGCGCCTCTAATTACTTCTTCGCACTTCTATTTAATTGATATGACCTATGTCAGATTGATCGTTGATTTCAAGCGTGGCAATTTTAAGATAGCTTTTTTGTTTTGAATTCGTAGCAAATAAGATAACAGGTTCAAAAAAGACTGATAGATAGCCATTCAACGTCAAATGATTTGAAGGTATGAATTGGTCTATTCAATCTTCGAACCAGAATCTCAGTTATGATCTCAGTCCCAACATAAATCTTTTTCAGTTAATCCGATCGAAGACAAGGACTTTGAAGACTAATTGTACTCGTCCTTTATTCTGCCGAAAATCACTTCCTTCTATTAAGAATTTTGGAGTAAAATGTCCTATCTATCTAATATATAAAGAATCGTAAGCGCAATTCAAAAACGTGCACATAGCGGGAAATTGCGGCGCGGTCTCGAAGCGAACGCTCTTGCCAATAGCACCTTTAGATTGCTGGTTCACTAGTCTAATATATAAAGAAACGTAAGCGCAATTCAAAAATGTGCAAATAGCGGGAAACTGCGTGGCGGTCCCAGAGAACGCTCTTCCAAATAGCACCTTTAGATTACTGGTTCACTAGTCATTTAAATAGGCTGAAAACGATTATAGCTGAGATATTGCAAGATTCTCAAATTGATCCAGATACTGAGATACTCTTCAAAAAGATTTTCGTTCAATCCTCCAGCTTGTAAAGTAATCAGAGGTGCGAAAAGTGATTAGAGGCGCGAGGAATCTGGAGTTCCCCAGGCACTTCCAAAAGCGAATGCGGTAAGTCTTTGCTGCCTCCTGCATGACGTCCGACAGACTTGTTGTCGGTGCAAGCAAATGTTCAGAAATGGTAGGAAGAAATAATGTATGAATTTGAGACAAAAAAATGGAAACTTCTTCCCTGTCAATGTCAGTGCTATAGGAAGTTAGAAAAGTGACAAAAATATTTCATAAGTGAGAAGGGCAAACAAGACAAGAATGAAATCTGAGAGCTGCTTTAGCTCCGTTTTGTAAATTAACTTTATCTACAAGAAATTCCTATTTTTTCATAGCTAAATGTCCAATTTCACCAAGTGGATAGTACAAATGAATTTCTACCTATAAGAAATTCTTCTACTCTCAGATATAGTGGAATACATGAGCTTGAAAATTTGCAGCGCGAAAAGTTTCGCTTTATTTGCGAAAAATTCGCTAAAGTAGAGAGGGCCCTCATCTGGCGTCAAAACAGCATCCTTATCGGATATCAAAAATTTTTGACTCTAAGGAGTAGCGCAAAATTAATGAAGAGTATGAAATAAATGAAGAGAGCAGCCATGGACCGCCGCGAGACGTGGCGAGTTTGAATCAATACGTTTCGGGAATGACCGAGCAGGTTAGGGCCGGTAGCGCTGTAATTTGGAAAGTGAAAGATCTCTAAACTTCGAAAGAACAGGAAATTGAGTCCTGAAATTCAAAGAAAGTGCACGCCAATTACATGTGATGTCATGAAACTGCAGCGTGGTAAAAAAAAAGTTTTATGTGCACTGTACCAGTCTACCAACTTATGCGCAACATTTCGTTCTTCTAAACTGTGTCTAGTATCTCTATAATAATATAATATCACTATGCTTGAATGCAAGTGGTTGCTAATGAGATTTTGATTCTACTTTAAATTAACTCAGACGAATTCAATATTTTTATAGGTTTGCACACACTCAGATTTTGAATTTCTACTGTTTCACTGGAAGATTCTTTGCGTCATGTCTATTGATGCTATCAAATGGAAGGTCTGGCAGCAAAGTTCAATTTTTGCAGAGGTTTAGATGAGTTGAAGAAGAAAAGAAAGGTGAGGAGAGTTACGTCTCTTTATGAATAAAAATGAAAACACTCTAACAAAGTTGGTTTTTGGATGAGGGAATCACGGCATCAAGAGTGCATTGTTTTGTAAAGAAAGGTAATGGAGTGGCAGCATTCTTGTACTTCACAAGCAAAGATAGACCGCGATCTTCGTATACAGGTTTGAAGAATCTAACAATGAATGTCAACAAACTTCTTATAAGCAACTCTAGCGAATTGGCAGCTAGTTTGCTTTAAGATTGAGTTTTAATGTTGCCTCTTAAGAATTTGATAATATAGTGCGGAATAATATTGGTGACATTGCACTGCTGACAACACTTGTTCGTCAAAAACGGGCTGAGTTCAAGCGCAAAGCTGCCCCAAGGGCATCACATGTATGTGTTAACTGGTAGCTCTAGACGATGAGTTGATGTCACGAAATTTTACATTTTTGTGATTTTCACGCTTAAGGTGCAGTTTTCAGCCGGTGTCCACAAATGGGAATATTCCGTGGCAATAAGCCCAAATGGAATGATTTGTCATCAAAGACGAAATGAAAATAATGTAACGGTGCAGCCGTCGCAAGCTCTTGCTCTTCCAGTGAGGTCTACCTTTTCGAATGCGCAGTATGCACATATATCTAATTGAAACTAAATAATCGTTTGAGTCCCATCTCATGATTTTTAATAGGTTAGAAAACGTTTTTTACTATAGTTCTCTGTTCCAACTTTTTTCAATCAGCTATATAAGTTCAAAGCGAAATCGATTTGGAAGCGCATAGCAAATTCTCAGTCGTAATCGCCTAACGCAAACTTACCGTCAGGAGAACATTATGTACATTTTGAGCCGCAAACAAGCCTACGCTTATCGCAATTTTCTTTTATGATGGATGGTGGTTCTCTGGATATGCAACGACAAGCCAGGATCACGTTACTGCACCAGAAGAGAAAAACTCAAAATAAAGAAAGTTAAAATAAAGTGAGAAAACAGTGCAGGCAGAAAAAGAACTGCCAGATCTGATATGAAACGCCTGTTGACTCTCAGCTCTGCAAAGTAAAAATAAAGAAGATTGTTGTAAAGTGATGGCATTTCTTTCGACAGCAATAATAGACTACTTTCACCTGGAAATACGCAGAATCTTGATTTTATCCTGACTTTGCATAGTAAACGAAGGCAAATGAAGCCTGTAGTCAAGCGCGACGTGCGAAATCCGAATGTACTGATTTATAAACAACTCTTTGAGACCTGATCGACAATTATTAGTACTTGCCATCATTAGAAACTTTGAGCGGAACTTCACGTAAAAACCGTCCTTCTAAGTACTACCATCCCAAATAAAACATTTTTCTGCTTCAGAATGCTATCACTCGTCGGCAATCCAAATCTACTTTGTCTGCAGAGGTTTGATTCACTCTAAAAAAAATTGTCGCGCATAGCATGTTGTCGCTCTTTTGCGATTACGCTTTACTCTATATCGAACAATACATGCAACAGGGTGTGCGCGGAATTCCAATCTCATAAAATGCAAATTCAGAAAGGGAAACAATTTTTACGTTGTATTCGGTTTTTCCTAGGCCCCGGGCAGACTTCACGCGATTTGATCGTCGCGACCTTTTCCAGCACGAAATTTTTGAATGCGAAAAAACGAATGGAAATCTTGGCGATTAGATCGCGACGATTAAGTCGCGTGAAGTCTGTCCAGGGCCTTATAGATCGAGCCAAGATTCCTTCGCTTCTATTGTGTCTTCTCTGCGGAGCAATCAAAGGTTGTTCTTGCCTCACATATAATAGAGATGAAGCTCGTTCACCTTTATAGAAATTTGAAAGCCAATTCATGGAGTCTCTTTCGTAGGAAGTTCACGGTCAAAGACAACATACTTTGCGCGATTTCATTAGATATATTCAACAATAGGATAGAATCTTTTTTAGTTGGAGAAGGGTGGAGGGGAGGAGGGAAGGATAGGGTCAATCAGACGAATGCCGTGCAGGAGGCCAAGGTTTTTTCCAATTTATTCTTTCAAGTAATGGGACTATTCGCTTTCAAATTTTCCCACTAAGTTGTTATGAAAATGTCGTAGAAACACATTTGGAGTATTATTTGTAGATGTAATATGTGTTTCAAACTATCAATACTTCAATGGTTGTCTAGTTACAAACTTTGACTTTTTTGAAAATTCCAAAACCGTTGGTATCTTTTGAAATTATGAAGACCAAAGTAAAGTTTGCGTCACGTTTCAAATACAAAATGACTGAAAATGACTAAAATACTATAACCAATTTTTACTGAAGTTTGTCTTCTGATTATCACAATTATATAGCTTCAAACACACTTTTAAAACGCTCAGTGATGAACTTACCAAAACGCCCTCATGAGTCATTGAACCTACAATTTTTAAGTTATCAATAGTGAATTTTAAGATTTCAGCTCCACTACTACTCTGTTCTCTTGTGAGAATAGCGCTAGAAGAAGTTGTTCTTTAATGCATAAGAGTAGACTAAAAGAAATGCGCCTTTCAATTCCGACTTCAAATCTGTCTTTCATATTCATTCTCAAGCTACTTTCAATAGAAGTCATGAGAATTTGTTTGAACACGAGTATCCTTCACAAGTTTTCCTGAGGCTTTGCCAAGTCTTCTCCAAAGTGATCGCTCGCTATCTCCTACGGTTACATGCGGCATTTGGTTCCTCCTGCACCACTTCCAATCAGACAGAGTCCCAGAACTTATAATAGTTTTACAATAAATATCAATAGGGTATCTACTTTGTACACGCATTGTGGTTACCGTAGATTACTTGTTTGAGATTTGAAAATAACAACTGGTAATGATTTAGTAGGAATTCTCATGAGGCGATTAGCGTCTACAGCAGTCCGTAGTCATGAGCTTTCTCGACTGCGTGAAAATACGTGATTAAAGACTTTATTTGCAGTAAACTGAAACATAGAGACAGGGTCCACATTGCACTTCAACGGCTAGTACAAACGCCGACCTAGACCTGAACAGGAAGAGGAGCGAATCCACCACCAATGTTCCCATTCCGCAAGGTCTCAATTCTGCTTCGAGTCCCGCCAGTGTTGAATCCATTTGCACCATCGAAGCCGTTTGTTTTTTCACCAGAATAACGCGCCTCGAGATTGATAGTACCTAGAGAGTCACTGTTTTTTTCTTGAAAAGAGTTTATCACAATAACTGTTAATGAAAAATTCTCATACAAACCTATGTCGAATGTTCTGGCTGCACCGAATCCTTGGTGAAGATAAGATTGTGGCAGCTGAAGACTCATTTGTCGTACACCCTGTCAAGATCGGATATTGATAATAATAGGTCTTTCCAAAAGTAATTTCGCTTTTTTCCAACGGGAGCCACATTTGATGGAACAAAGCTTTCTAAAAGATCTTGGAGGCATTCGATGCAGCATTTCATTCTCTTTCCGAAGTTGTAAAATCGTTGCAACAAAATCAATGAGCTTTCAGAAAATGACCAAAATCTGCGGCCTATGCTTTTTGAGGTGGTCAGTTTTCAACATTTTTCTAAACTTTTATATCAACCCTCCAAAAAAGTACAAGTAATCTCTTTACAGATCAAACCCTGCAGAATGTAAAACTACTTTTTTTCTCCTTTCCATAGCTTGTCTCACATTTCTAACATAATTATAACAGATGCTACCGATTTCCATACTTGGGCAGCTAAATCCTCGTAGAACATCAAAAGAAGAGCAGCTCGCGCACTATTAGATGCAGCATTTTCTCCTATTTCTAAAGTGTGTTTTTTTGTTCCCGATTCCTTTAGTTTCCAGGGATGAAGCCATCATAACTCATTTTTTAAGCAACCCCCCTGCTGTACCCGAAAAACTCGAAATTTGATATTTCGAACCCGTAAATTCTCAATTGCTTTGTAAAATTAGTGCTAACTCATAGTACCATCTTGCTACTCTCAAATTCCGAATAATTATGATGTTTGATGCGATTGTGGCTGACGTGCGCCTGCCAAAATCCGATGCTTTGTTAAAAAAATCCTTTAAAAAATTACGGCGAGCTATGAAAAAGAGAAAAAAGTTGCGTATTCTATAAGGTCTGCTCTATCGAACCGTTACTTGAACCCCTTCTGACGATTTATTTGGAAGTTTTAAAAAGTTGTGAAACTTGACTATCTCAAAAAGCATAGGTCGCAGATTTTGGTTATTTTCTGAAAGCTCATTGATTGTTTTGCAATAATCTCATAAACGTTTTGGAAGAGAATGAAATGCTGCATCGAATGGCTCCTAGATCTCTTAGAAACCTTTGTTCATCAAATGCGGCGCCCGTTTGAAAAAAAGCGAAATTACTTTCGGAACGACCTAATGCATGATTTACTCAATAAAGTAAGCAAGAAATAATGATATGTCTTTATTCATAGCGTCTCTCCACCACAAATTTGTTTCCCATAAGTGCATCTCGCTGACCTCGCAATTATGATTGATAGCCAGTATGAGGGGTCCTGCAGAACTTCCACCACCAAATCCTTGATCACGAATTTCGGCTTTTATATGAAAACCTCCTGACCCATCCAAAGACTTGTCCTCATAAACAACTGGGGATCCTCCGTCTGAATTTTCGCGATTTTTAAATCGTCTGAGCTATACGGAAGGATAGAGGACGCACTTCCAATCTCATAAAGTGACACCCTTGCTCCCTGAGCTCCCTGTACTCCGCAAAGCAAGCGGCCTTTTACTTGGTAGCTTCGTGCACCGCCATCGAATGAGCTAAAAAACACCAATTCCACTTTGGGTAACCTGTGGAGACCACACTCACCCTTGACCGAAAGCGAATCCGTCTTGTCTACCCGGAAAAGCAGGTTGTCCAACAGCTCGTCCAAGTGCGGGGAATATTCCACGTCCCTGATATGGTTGCTGGAATCTGTCATCACCTAGAATAAAACTAGATACTGTGTCAACAATCTACAAGAAAGTGTTGAAGCGAGGATACTTACGGGGATAAACTGATAGTTGAGACACTACCGCGGACAAGATGGACGCCAAGATGAATAAGTTCTTCATACCGAATCTTTCGTATTAATCGCTCAAGGTTCAAGAACTCCTTATATATGCAGTAGAGGTGGACTCCAGATGTCTTATAGCAGACTTGATGCAAAGGTCACCGCGCATTTGTCCAATGGGAAAAATCAGCATGTTATAACTTCCCTCAAGCAGATCTAGAGTGTCATCCTGTTCTGTGACATAGGTGCCTCTACATAACATTTATTCATTCATTTCGAAAATATTAGGTGGGTCCAAAAGTTTTGTCAGTTTTTTTCAATCCATCGGCAAGCACGCTAGAATGAAGATAAACAAACACTTCAAAATGTACCCGATGCAGAATTTCTTCCTCTTTCCAGCTGCTAAACTCTCATTCTGTTTTGTTACGAGAGTGACGAGATATTTGCTGGAAATTACAACCACTCGCTTTTACCATGTCCAAATTTCGCTAATTTTCAAAATTTTTGTATGAGACTTTCGGAGGAGCCCCAATAACTAGCAGATAGGGCAAACCTTTTGCCAACAGAAGCAATTTTTTGTAGCCTTACGGTTTGTCTTTCAGAGTTTCTACGATTTATTTTTTGATGTGACCAAATTTCACATTCAGCTTATTTTAACCTCGTAGAACATATATTGTTAAACAGTTCAATCACCATTCGATGTAAATTTTTCTCCTCTATCTAATACTTGCTTTTTTTGCTGAGGCAGGCAAAATTTGTGGGGAATATCGCAGTATTTCTCAATTCAGGGGTGCGCACTGGCGTAACATATGTTTCAAAAACTTCGAAATTTGAAGAGAAAATCGCTCATTTACTTTGTAATAATGGCGGTAGTAATAATCGAGTGTTGAAATCTCAGTATTCTGTAGGTTTTGCAGTGTTTGGTGCAATAACAGGTCATGCGATTTTTCCAAAACACAAGACTTTCAGAAAATTATTTAGCAAAAATTTGAAAAAGCAGTTGGAAAAAAGAAAATTGCTTCTGTTGGCAAAAGGTTTGCCCTATCTGCTAATTAGGGCTCCTCTGAAAGTCTCATACAAAGATTTTGAAAATTAGCGAAATTTGGACATGGTAAAAATGAGTGGTTGTAATTTCCAGCAAATATCTCGTCACTCTTCCAACAATACAGAATGAGAGTTTAGCAGCTGGAAAGAGGAAGAAATTCTGCATCGGGTACATTTTGAAGTGTTTGTTTATCTTCATGGCGTGCTTGCCGATGGATTGAAAAAACTGACAAAACTTTCGGACCCACCTAATAGTTGATGACCGTACTTGCCATACTGGAGTGGTTGACAAGAAATACACAGGCATAAATTTTTTTCTCAATCAACTCCACACTTTTTGATACACTATAGAGACAGGATGCTCCTTTCATTGAATTACTAGCCTGTAACAACCCCACTAAACAACCCCACTACAGGTATAAGCTCACTAACCGTCTTCCAAAAATCTTGAGGAATAGTTTCCCAAAAATTTTCACAAGAAATAATTGTTTGAAGCTATGAACTCTGGGGCTTCGCCATCTTTGGAGCATTCAAGGTGTAGTGATAGCGAAAGCTTCCTCGTAGCATTCAAGGTTACATATCAACGTAGAGTTGAACTAGAAAAAGCAGTTCCTGTAATCAGCCTGTAAAAACAGACACTTTCAATTCACTTAACCCCTCATCTGGTGCTGACGGCAGTTATTCTTTTCTTTTATACTTTTAATGAGTACCAGTGTATTTTCTCATAAAATGAGATCCACTGAGAAGTATATCAGCTTTTTGGGGAATTCCCCACTTTTGAATGGTGGTATGAAAGTGATGCCACGTTTCATGCATTATAGATTACAAATGGTATATTTATCCAAAGAGGAAAAAATTTAAAGTTTGCATAAATTGCACGAACTTGCTCCTGATAAAAGAGTCTGTTGGAGGAAAGCTCGCAAAAATGTGTTGAAAGAAACTTCACAAACTAATGACTCAGTATATAACGAGTATGCTAGGAAATCAAGGTATTTTGTTTCGAAATAGCTTAGTCCCATCGAGATTATAAGAAAAAAGAGCAAAACCTCTTTAGATTGTGGGGTATTAATGCAAAACCAGAAAGTAGCAAGTTATCTAACTGATTCCTGCCTGTCAAACCAATTCTTCGTATCTTTGTTTAGTGTGACTTGACTTGACAGAAGCAAAAAGAACAATGAACTTTCAGACAAGTAAAACAGCAGCATTTGCTTTCTTCTGCTCAATCTCAACAATCTAAAGTGATCAAGGATCTGGAGTGTCATGCTTCCTACTTTAGTCTCAGATATGACGAGGGTCACAAATTTGTTTCTTGCACTAAAGAAAATTGTAGATAAATGTGCATGAAGAACTCAGAATCGCTAGAATGTTGTCGCCTATTTCCATTTTTTTTTCGAAATTTCTAGCCCCAGAAGAGCAACAATTCTTAAGAACGTTTGGTGAAGCGTTGTGTATATGTGTGTGACTCGAGATTTTTTGGCAAAGGTCCGGATTTTTTAAAGGGAATTTCATTCATCCATCATTGTGAATCCTGATATGGGCATCTTGCACACCTTGTTCACTCTATCAAATACCAAAACCCCAATAGCATCAAAAGTAAGCTTTGTTCAGGTGCGTAAAAACTACCAAAGTAATTAGTACTGGAAACCGCTCTACAGATAAAATCCAATAATCCGATCTCATTTTCCTCGCCAAGTGTCAGATGCCTATTTACGGTTTTGTAAGACGTTGAGGTAACGGCCGCGATATCTACTCAGACACTCGGGGCGTGCAGCGCGCGCGCAATTGCAGGGTGGCGCGACACCCAGTCTGCGGATGGCGCGCTATTGACTCCCGCGCCGCTGCATGATCGTCCGCGGATGGCTGCGATTTTAAGCGCGCGAGCGGCTGGGATTTCTTGCACGCGGATGGCTGCTATTTTGGCACGCGAATGGTCAGCATTTTCGCAGCTTCGTTTTAATCATTGACCCGCGCGCCAAATTTGAACGGCCAAACTTCCAGCGGACTAAACCTTTTAAAACTTTATTTCTGCAGAAAAATGACTGGACAACTCCAATAAACCTTTATTAATTATGTAATTAAAGCTTTAAAAGACACTTTATGATGAGAATGTGGATCAAATGTGTACAATCAAATACATATGTAACGGAATGGCATCATGTACATGCAATAAACATATATAAGTCAAAAATATTGCTATCACGGAATTTCACTCATCAGCAATGAATAGGTCGTCGTCGTCTCCTGTTACTGCCCCATCGTCGATCATTTCGTCCGCGACTTTCTTCGACTGGCGCTGTAATGAATCTATGAAATACTAATCAAACAGCAAACAATTTTACCTTATGCGGTATCCATTTCGACTCGCTTTCCTTGTACGTATAGGACCTAATATCTCGTCTGAAATTGATATATTAGCAACTAAGGCTGCGTTATAACCTGTAAGAATTGACTACGCACAGTGCGAATTGCAGGGCCTTGAAGAGCTGTGGACGCCACCGCATTTTCTCACGCGAAGCCTGATCAAAATTTTGTTTTCTTTCGGCTTCGTCTGTGCCAAGACTAGCGTAAAATCTGCAATGAATAAAACTTGATGGAAAGACAACATGGACGAAATGATACGCTACTTACTCCGAGTTTTCAAAATCCACAACCGCGCCTGGTAGCAGTTCGTCGTACCCGTATCCCATCATATCGTCAGCAAAATCTGAACAAAAAAAGTAGAAGAATTCCTTATCCGAAAAACCGCATACCGATCAAGGTGGTTTCGATCTCATCGGGGAGGTTTTTGAGTTTGGCGTCCCTGCGCTTCTTCCGTTCAGCCTCAGCGAATATTCTTGAATTCGCTGAGGGGGGCTGGTGATCTAAAAATATATATATATATTGTGTTTCATATAACCATATACTACAATTACGACAATTACCTGTTGTAAAGGGAAACGATACAGAGATGTGAGACTCTGGGTGGTGTTGTCCTTTCTTCTCGGATTCCACTTCCCCATCACGAGGTTCATAATATCCAACTATCAAAAAGTCAGATAGTAGCAGAATACAGAACTATTGTAGATATACCTTCACGAAAGGAGGGTTGGCGGAGATTTTCCACGGCTTCTGACAGTTTCTCAAGCATAATTGGGCCCTGCGCATCACTGAGTCGTCCGTCTTTTCGGCTAGTTCATTCTGACGCGCTATCTTCATCATTTGGGCTTTCCCGATGTCGGCCTAACATGTTTTCTGCTTGTTTATGCATCAAACTATGTTTTTGGAACTTACTAAGAGTCTCATCGCCATGAAATTGCAGCCTACTATATGTGGATCCTCGAAACCGTCCAATCCATCGTAGCGCGAGACCGCTCGTGCAGCCACATTTGAGCTGACAAATTCCTGAGCAAACACTTATTGCATGATTCACTATCACCTGAAATACGTACATCGTACGCAGCGTAATTGAATGTCCCATTTTTAGTGCGATGCAGCATCAGTTTCGCGGCTAGTTCCATGCGTAGTTCCCCATTTGCTACACAATCAAATAGTGATGACGGCAACTCCGGAAGTTCTTCCATTTGCATCGACTCCTCTTCAAAGACGAATTCTCGCCGCTCGTATGCGCTTCCTTAAATTAAGACATCCACTGATCACAACTTTGAAAACGTTTCGGACCGGGTGGTATTTGCTCCTCCTGAGTCACGATATGCTCCTGTCGTACGGCTGTCGAAGTGGCTTGTGATGCGTTGGGCTCCTCCAAAATTAACCTTCGACTCCTGTGATTGAACAGTTGAGCGGTGGAGAAGCTTTTGTATAAACTAGCTTACACAGCTTGCTTTGAGATCGCTTTTAATGGCACTCTTAGGCTCGCGATCTGTGGCAAAACTTTGGAAGTTGCAGTTTGACGAGGGACTTTCGAGATTGCTTTTGGACGAGAAACCGAAGTCCGACCTCTGGCGGAGGAATAAGGGCTGCTGTTGCGCGAGAACATGTGAATCTGACCACATATAAAGTAAGACTGGAAGGGGTAGGGGAGCTAGACTGGAGGGGGTAGGGGTGTAGAGAAGTATCATGGATACAAACCTCAGCTAGAATAGGGCAAAGAACAAAGTTTAACATTCATGACTATAGTCCTTTATAAGATCGCTAGAGAACAGAAATAAAACTCTTGTCATCAATTTTCATCATGACACATGCACCTAGGATCGAAGAAGCGTCTACTATGCGATCCATTACCCTTGCTATTTCAAAAAAGAGTTTGTTCTTGCCTCTAATCATTTGCATCAGCTGGAGGGCGCTATCTTGAGCTTCGTGGGCTGTGATTTCTACTGATTGATGCAGTCGGTCGAATGGGTCGAATAAGACGTATTCTTCGAGTACAACTCGAACAGTGTTGTTTGCACTATTGTAAATGAATAACAAAATTGATCCAAAGCTCTCAAAAGTTTCTCCGTCTTCGGTCACTGCGTAGTTTACAAGATCCACTCGGCTAGTTTTCTTGCGACTCCAGTACTTTCGTGATGCATACACTTTGTTTCGAATGACAAGCCTTGAACTAAAACTACTGCAACTAAGTAAAAACTGTGGAGATGCAAAGTGGTAACTCACTAAGGAGTTTCATGGGACACCACAATCATTGATCGATGATGAGTATCGAGGTCCGCCATTTTCACGAGACTGTTTTTTGGTATATGAATACAGGCACTGATGCGAATTTCCGCGGCAAATCTATATAAAGAATTTGCGTTTCGATCATAACACTGGAAATCCGTACCTTTTCTGGTTGTCGTTCTCAACCTTCTCCTTCAGTGACAAAGATGCAGGGTCGCAGCGATGGTGGAAAAGATTACGTATCTTTTTTGATAATAAGTACCCAAAAGAGAAAGCTACATGGAATATGTAAATCCCAAGCACCCACTTCTCAATCATCAGTGAAGCGCTGTTGGTACTTGACTGATTGACTCTGATTTGTAATCTCCTATGGAAACTTTCGAAGGGTGCACTGGACCACTGATATGGGGTTCCGTACTGGGATATTTCCTCATCCATCGTATGATCAAAAAACCACTGCAATGTGTCTGTGATTGTTCGATTGTAAACAGTCACAAACGCACATGTGCTTTCATTGTGAAAATTTTGCATGCCGCCATTACCCATACGTCTCTAGTTAAGTTGGCAATGATCTTTTGGTCTTCGATTATGTCGGTGGTGAGGTTATCTGCTTTTGAAATTGTTCTAACAGTAAACCAATAGCCAAGCAATCCTGCTGCTATGATGGGGCACGGAATGCCAAAGGGAAGGCGACAGCTGCTAACTGAAACATAAACCTTTGTTTGCTGTCGAATGAAGGGTGAGTGGGGAGCGGGAGGGGAAGAGGGAGGAGGTGGGAATAAGAGTGTTAACACCCCTGTCGACTATTACCCCACACATAAAAATTGGAAATTGGAAAAAAGTAGGTCCTCGACAGAGTGGATGAATCAAAACCAAATAATAAATCGTGTAGAGTATGGACGCAACAAAATAAGCAAGCCTGGCAGCACCTAAGAGTGCGCAGAGTGAGATTCCAGAGAAACACTCAATAAAATGGGCTTCAATATCAAAACAACATATGGCTCACCCTATGAGCAAGTGTCCACTGAAAGCATGGTAGCAGCAAAACATCCTGTTTTTACTCGCGCCTTGCATAAGGCAGCACTAAAGAGTGAGAATCAACTGAATTAGAATCAAGAATCAACTAAGAAACACGCCTGGGTATTCCACTTTCAATTCCCAACTGATTTGACCAAAGTGTGCAGGTTCACAAATGTGGAAAATACGGTTTCACTGAAAAAATGAGAACTTCAACCAAAAAGCGGCTCGTGATGGAGCGAGAAAACGTCAAACACAAGCATTTTGAGCTGTTTCTACAAAACTTTCGAAAACTAGACTTTTGACACAAGTGTAGGCTCAAAGTTCGAACAAATGTAACCATTAATCGTAAATCATCAACATGAACATAACTAAACATTGTGAAGACTGACGCTGTCATCCTCATTCCAGCTAGTCCAAGAAACGCCGGGTTGGAGCCATCGTGTGAGAATTGAATTGTAGTTCTGATATGTTTTCAGATAATTGGTCCCATGCTCTACAATCTAAAGAAATCGAACTCATGCCAGACCCGCGTAAGAAAACCTATTTAGAGTTGGAAAGTACGACAAGGACCTACCTCAGGTAGAAAACCTTCGCAATCTTCGGATCCCATCATTCTTGAGCAATTTGCTTGTGTGCACCTGCAGACCTGCTCAAGAAGTCGACAGTTAGATAGTGTCGCAAACTTCAGAAAACGGCAAACTTACTTTTTCTATTTCGATGGTCTGTTAGACCATGTTAGGAATAACATTGTTTTCACTTTTGTTTTCAGTGGTCGCGCTTTCGTAAACTTTCGCTAAGATTTCGTTTAAACTCTGTTGTGTTTTTTTCTCCTGTTCCAACTTGAATCACATCAGGCTGTGCAGGGTGGGGGAGGGTGGGGGGAGGGGAGGGGCAACGAGAAGGAAGTCTGCAAATGCACACCTCATGCAGTCTGTCTCCTGAACGTGATCTTTCGCTAAGATTTCGGGATCCCATCAAATGAAAATCACTTGAGCAAAGATTTGCTTGGTGTGCATTTGCAGATACGCTTGAAACGTTGACTTCTAATGTCGGCAACTGCAGACATTAGCTGTCAGGCCTCTTTGGTTTAGCTATAGACTTACCTCTTCTATCTCGGTGGCCTTACAAGTGGGAATATCCTCTAGGGATAACACCAGTTTATTGGCGTATGTGTGTGATGAGATTCCCAGTAATGAGCGCTTGATTTTCTCAAGGTTGTTGCCTCGTATCCTCAGTCCCGGTAATTTGGAAAGTGGACTGAACAAATCTAAAACAAAACAGTGCATGTGTTTGATTCAAAACTTTCGTAACCTCGCAATCGGTCCCGCGTTAATCCTTCAGCAATTAGATGCAATGCGTCTCCCATAAACTTATTTGGAAGCATGAGCTTCATCATGTAGGTGGTTTCTGAAGCATACATTTGAACCAAACAAAAGAATAAGAGTCGGAAAATGCTGTAAGTGCACAAATAACTCACTCAGTATGCCAAACTGCTGTAGTTGGCCATCTCTGGCATACGATTCTGGGCTTCTTCGTATCGTATCGTCATCGCTTCCTGCAATCCACATGCGTTGGTTTCCATCTCGAGTGCTTTTGATATAGCACTTCGAGCACCCGAAGTCGGAAGTCCATCTGGGTATCCCACCAAACAAGACCTGCTGAGCCTGTAAGAAATTTTTTGTGATTAGCTCGTTTGATGGGTACAATTACCGGCATATCTGCAATCCCGCAGTACAGGTCCACCTCGATTTTCCACGTGGTGCCATCTACTTCTACCTGGAGTGGATCGTCTCGCAGCTCGATCAGTTCCGACTCAAATCTATAGAAGGTGGACAATCTCTTGCGCTAAGCTTTCGCTAAACTAGCCTGCTGCACACGGCTTCTATCAATTTTTCAGTAGGCTTGAGGCGACTCCAGATGATTCCCGCGATAATGGACTTGAAGTAGTTGTTGGCATCGCGGGGTTTTAATCCATCTGCACGCAGGTATATGGGCCACATTTCTCTCCTATAAATTCTTATTTTTCCTGCTGTCATTTCAAAAATAGCTAGTTCACTTCGACAATCTTTTTGGCCGAAAACCATCTGTAGAAAGCGACAACAAAACTTTCAGAACATGCGCCTCAAAGTCCCTTCGGCTTTCTATGTGGCTATAATAGCCGCCAAAAAGACGTAGGTCGTTACGACGATTGTCTGCAGCGCCCTAATAGATATAAGAATAAAGCTTACTAACAAAGGCGAGCATATTGTGAAATGAAAAGGTTAACAACGAAAGCGCGTAAGTAATATACTCCGTGAGAGTGTAGAATCCTGTGCAGATCTATGATCTGTCCTATATCACGGACCAGTATGTCCGAAAGTTGTGGTATAAATGACAGTAGATGGACTTCCACTCTTTGAGTTTTCTTTGCTCTTTTGACATTCACCCTAAAAATACAGTTTATTTCAACTGTGTGTAGGCGTGAAGCTTTAAACCTGACCCAAATATAGAGCACGACTGATTTTCGCATGCCATTTGCTCTTTTGTCAACTCCGTGTTGCACTGGCAGCAATATAGATATTTTTTGTTGTCGTAAGCCTCCAGGACTTTGTTGTTAAACGGAGCGACATGCCCATTGTACTACATGAAAATCAGCTTATGGAAAGGGGCAAAACGTGGAACAAACCGTAATTGGGGGTTCCCTTCCATAAAGGATTTTCATCAACTTCTCATTCCATTTTATCTGTGCCTCCGATAAGCCAAAATGCTGTACATGCATCGCATAGTACAGTATGCGGTCTTGAGTGGCTTAATCGACAAATGTTAAATTGCAACCATCATTTTGAAAGCGAAAACAATCAGAACACTTACACATCTCTCTTTCACCAGTCTCTTGCTCTTCTTCCTCCGCCCATCCATCCGTTCCTGCGTGGTTATAGTTGTTCAAGATGTTCGGATGATCTATAGCGGTGGCATTATAAAGCAAGAAAAATATTTTTTTAACTAAAACTATGCCTTCCGGTTCTCCTGGTACTGAATGCAAGATGACTCGCTCCTCCGTAGGCATTTGTAGTCGTCTAATATGCAGAAAGTCCAGATATGCCTCGTTCAAGTTCTCCTCCAAACTTTCTAAAATTATATGGCATTACTTATGAAAATTGGCTTCACTTACCTCCGAAAGCCCTTATTCCAACATGATGTGGGGCCGGGAACTGCGTGCTGAATGGCATACCTCCACCTCTTCGTCTAGATAAAGCACTGACTAGTAAGGGATTGTATAAGTTCTTAATTGACCTGGCCTACTTTCAAATGTTTGGTGCCAATACTCCTCGAGCCGAACGATAATTTTAACAGGCCTCAACCTACATTGCTAGAGGCATATGCGTATTTGATGTGATAAATGACAGCATTGCAAATTTGCATGCTGATGTGAAGGCATTTGTATGATAAGAACGACTTCGTCCGTTTCGTTCCTACCCTTAGACGGACAAATGCAAAAAAGAATAAGCCTTTCCCGGAACTCGTCAGTAAGGAAGAAAGGCTAATAATAACGACAATCAACTAAAGTAAGTTCAAAAAAAATGCATCAAATCAAGAAAGAAAATCAAAATGAAAGTCTTAGATACAAATAAAGACAAATACTCGTAAAAAATAACAGTAAAACTTCAAAAAACAGGGGCAGGGGACGAGGTTATTTTCAAAAAAGCAACTCGGCGTCCTTTTGGGCACGCGCACCGCTGCGCTAAAAGCTAAATCGCGCTCGCGCTGCTGCATAATAACAGAAAAGCACGCGCGCCGCGTATTCTCATGTAAAAAGGCACGCGTGTCGCAGATAATTCTGCATTCGCGTCAAGTATGGCGCGCGTTTGGCGCCGTGCCGGACACGCCCCCAAAATATGGCACGCGCTTTGCCGGCTTGAGCATAAAGGCGCGCGCGCTGCACGCACCGAGTGTCTGAGTAATGACCCAGAGTTGGCCCATGACATGAGTCTCATCATTAACCTATATAAATAAAGCAAGAGCACGGCATTGATAATTAGCATTCATATATGCGGCAATGTCTATTCTGCTTTCCGCTTTTGTTCTGCCTCTAGCGCTAGCACAGTTCCCAGGAGCCGGATGTAAGTGTGCTCTCCTCCCAAACCTCTATTTAAATAACGCTCTTAGCTCAATCCCGAATAGCATTTAGTAATGTTTTTTTTATAGTGGGAGGTATTGGCAGATTCCCGGGAAGTGGTGGATTTATCGGCGAGCGAAGTTACTATGTGAGAGGACGCCTCGTCTGCGGCATTCAAGGAGCACAAGGAGCTAGAGTCTCTTTGTGGGAAAATAGAGGTTTCTACCTTCGAATCAACACACAAATAAATTGCTACTCCTTTCGTAGGTCAAGGATCCCCAATCATTTACGAGGAAGCGATAGTCGATGCTGGCGGAAGCTTCTATGTGAAAGCTGAGATTCGCAACGGTATAGGATTTTCTGGTGCGAGTTCAAGCGGTTATCTTATCTTAACCATTACCCATAGCTGTCAGGTTGGCTATCCACCTTTACTACTGAGTGTTGCACAGATTTGTCACAAATTTAGGGCCAGCGACAGATGAGCATCGAATTGCCAGAAACATACTTCAATCAAGGCATAGTACCCATTAAGACTTACGACTTGGGTAACTGCATCTCCAAAGATACCTAAGATTATTTTGGGGGAATTCTATTTCAGGAACGATCAATCTTGAGGGCAGATTTTTGGGTGAAGAAAACAACGGCTTCGGAGGAAACACCCGATTGGGCCGAGGTGGCAGCCACGATTTTGGGAGAAGATTTAACCCTGGTGGATTTGGCAGTAGTCCAATACACCTCTAGAACGCTTTAAAATCTGTTATTGTTGTAATGCATATTTTATGTTTATTACTAATACTGAATAAAAATTAACAGCACTTCGCAAGAAAATCACAGATTAAATGCCTGTAAAACAATCGGACACATGTCTGAAAGTCACACGTGTAGCTAGTAAGAAAATGCAGTAAAAACTGAGTCACAGCTTTATAGAACTGTAGAGTCGATAAATTTACAAGGTTTCGCACTAAATCGTGCAGCAATGAGGAATGCAGCAAGTTTTTATGAAAGCCATAAATCACGTCCAAGAAAAGAAGGTAATCACAAATGTGAGATGGCTATGTTAAATAAAGAAACTCAATATGTTGAAAATGAGACATGTTCTATGAGTGAATGGTCGCAGAGCAGAAGAGAGAAGATCAAGATTTTCTATGCTCTCACATCAAAGGCACATCCACGCAAAATCTGAGGAGAATTCCAGCGAGATTTACATAACACTGTGCGATAAAGACCGACAGTTCAAGAGGGTGTAAATTCTATCAATTCACCCGTAAAAAATAAGAACACTGCGGCTAGATCTCACGACATAGAATGATCGATGATAAATAATGAGCGTCGATTCGAAGAATAACAGAACAAGCCTCGCTTCAATACATGCATTTTTATTTACATACGTTACAAACAACATCTGATCATAGGATTACAGTTTTAGACTGAAATTAGTGAGACGCTGCATATAAAGGAGATATCAAGGAGTTGAGTCGTTTGGCTTAGAGGTAGGTCCGCTTCTGAAGTGTTTAAGTGAGTTTGGAGTACATTTCGGCAAGCTCCGCGGCGAAGCGAGCCTTCAACTTTGGTCTTTTACTCTTCAGCGTTGGTGTAAGGAGATCGTTCTCCACGGAAAACTTGATCGGAGAAAGGCGAATGTCTTTCACCTGAAAGCACATTAATTTTCAACATTCTTCCATCGATCCCTTCATGATATATCAACACGAAAAGGAGCATGTGGGCATCAAAACTGCAATGTGTAAAGGATTGCAGTGTCTACGAAATGGGTTCGAAAGGTTTTGTATAGGCTACAATACATTTTCCATGGCACAGCTTTTGACGTCAAAGTGGATCCATACTTTGATTCGTACATTATAGAATACAATTCAAAGAGACGCGGCACAATCAAAGTTAGTGCACAAAATAAAGCTCAAAATATGAAAGTCACCCTGCCCTGCGGTCAATTTCAATATATCTTTCGCAGCGGACGCATTAAGCAAGAAATGCACTTTGTATTTGATCATACAATCAATACACTGCTCATCAATCCGGAAGACCTTATTTCAAGCACACCAAAAACAGCGCTATTCCAGAATGATTACAAACGTAAGCAGCCGTGCAAAACGGGGAGCTTACCTGCTCAAATGAGAACAGTCCACCTTTCTTTCCGACAGCAACCATGTCATCGAGCACCATTTTGACAACGTGCCTGTTCTTGCATAACTCTTCCAAGGTCCCAGTAAGTTGAAGATGACTCTGGCAAGCAGGGATGAGCTCCTACAACAGGATCTTGAAGCTGCCATAAACTTGCAGTCAAAACAGGTGTATACCTCGGCATCGGGGACAACTATAGCGATGAGGCAGGTTTTAAGTGATTCTCCATATACAAAGGATTGAGCAACAAACCTCGATCTTACATAGATGTTTTCAATTTTCTCCGGTGCAACGTACTCACCCTGAATTCGGAAGATAAGTCAATCAGTCCACAGGAAATATTCAAACATGCCATGTTTACCTGCGCCAATTTCAAGATATTCTTCTTTCGATCAACAATTTTCAAAGTGCCTTCCTCTAACCAGCGGCCTATGTCGCCTGTATGAAGCCATCCATCTTCATCGAGTACTTCTTTGGTGATCTCCTCGTTCTTGTAGTAACCACGGAAAACTATTGGGCCTTTTATGCAAACCTAAAAGAAACTATTTTGTTTTGATTTCAGTCGAACAAAAAATCCGAGTTTCAATTTCCTCAAGATTAGTAAATTTTTCATGCAATAAATTGGCAGTGTAGATATCAGTGACCGTGAATTGAACATTAGGAAAATGTGAACTGCGAGCTCTACCTCGCCAGCGTCATCCTTGGCAAAATATCCTAGTTCCGGCGCATCTACTAATTTGATGCGTGCAGCAGGAACAACCATTCCAACGTGCCCTGCATTAGCATCACCTTCCATTGAAACCTAGAGGAGAAGCAGTAAGAAAACCGTACAGATTAAGAAAAGAGATATCAGTTAGTTCCTTACTCACCGTAGCAGCAGCAACGCATTCCGTTTGGCCGTAACCTTCAACAACTACACATCCCATTGCAGCTCTTACAAAAGTGAGAACGTTTTCCGAAAGAGGTGCAGATCCAGTGATCATAAGTCTTACACGTCCTGAAAGGTAAGCAATGAGAAGAAGGAAAAACGCTTGTTCACAGTCGAGACATACCTCCCATACTCTCTCTGACCTTCTTGAACACGAGATTGTCGAAGAAACCATCACTGCGAATGATGAACCTGAAAGACCGAGTAATTGAAAAAGAGTTCCAGTGTGTTAAAGCTCTATATGACTTCCGCATTTCACGGGCTTTGTAAGCAACAGCAACGTTAAGGAGAGCCTTCTTTAGACAAGATTTGTTCACTTCAGACATCACCTGAAAGCGAATCTACTATCTGTACAAGACTACATGATATCAACAAACCTTGTCGTAAAGCCTATTGAGTACGCGTGGAACGACAGGAACGACTGTTGGTCGGAGTTCTTTGATGTCATCAGTAAGAAGTCGAATATCCCCTCTGAAAGAAAACGATAAGAAAAGGTCCAGGTATGCAAAACAAAATGTTAGGAACACACCTATAAAAACCGACACGAGCTCCTTTTACGAAGCACACAGCCTCGACAACCCGTTCGAGCATATGAGCAAGAGGCAGAAAGCTGATCACGACTTCCTATGAAGAAACTAATATTGAAAGGGAAATTTAATATTCCTAGCGATGAGCAAGATTTTTAGTAAGAAACTGCAAAAGTTTGCCACACAGCTTGCCAGGAAAAAGAGGGATTTTTCCTATTAGGTAAAGATATTTTCAATCATTCTTTCAAAATTGATGACTAATTTTTCTATTAAAAATTGTACCACATGAGAAGATAGGAGAGACTCTAGCTCTAGATATTGGATTACTCTCGTTGAAAGCTTTCAGAAAACATATAGCTTGCCAGGAAAGAAAGGATCTTCCTGTAGGGTGAAGGTGGTCTTAGTTATTTTTCTAAAATCAAGGAAAATTTTTTTATAAAAATTCATAACTTTACTATATGAAAAGCTAGAAGAGTCTTTTGCACTCCGTTGGAATCTTCTTGTCGTCCGCTTTCTAAAAATACCTAAGTTGCCAGGAAAAAAGGGGATTTTCCTATCGGGTGAAAGGGGTCGTTGCCGTTTTTCCAGAATTAAGCAACTTTTATTTCAAAAAAAAAATAAAATTTTTATATGAGAGGCTTGGAGAGTGTTTAAATGTTCGTTGAATTCTTCTCCTCGTCCGCTTTCAGAAAATATATAGGTTGTTGAGAGGAGGATGCTAAAAGTACGTGGTGAAAGGGGGAGGAACATGGTATAATGGAAATGTTCCTTTCTGTACTCCAAAAGCGTCGTTTTAAGGAGCTAAAGGAACATGCCCATTATACCATGTTCCCCCCCCCTTACACCACGTACTTTTAGCATCCGCCTCCCAACAACCTATATATTTCCTGAAAGCAGACGACCAGAGGAATTCAACGAACATTTAAACACTCTCCAAGCTTCTCGTATAAAAATGTTATAATTTTTTAAAATTAAAATTGCTTAATTCCGGAAAAACGGCAACGACCCCTTTCACCCGACAGGAAAATCCCCTTTTTTCCTGGCAACTTAGGTATTTTCAGAAAGCGGACGATAAGAGGGTTCCAATGGAGTGCAAAAGACTTCTAGCTTTTCATGTAGTAAAGTTATGAATTTTTATAAAAAAAATTTCCTTAATTTTAGAAAAATAACTAAGACCACCTTCACCCTACAGGAAGATCCTTTCTTTCCTGGCAAGCTATATGTTTTCTGAAAGCTTTCGACGAGAGTAATCCAATATCTAGCTAGAGTCTCTCCTATCTTCTCATATGGAAAAGTTACAATTTTTAATAGAAAAACTAGTCATCAATTTTGAAAGAATGATTGAAAATATCTCTACCTAATAGGGAAAATCCCTCTTTTTCCTGGCAAGCTGTATGATTTTTGTTAGCGGATGGAAACTAAACTTCTAAATTAGACTAGGCTAGTTATGACTGAGTTTTCCTCCTAACAATGAAATCGTTTAAGTTTCTCAATCTTCTTCGATGGAAAACAAAATTTTTTGAGAATAATCAAGCGCCAGTAATCATATACGATTGTCTTCTTCTTCTTGTATAGTGCTCCAACGTGGAACAATGCACTCCTGGCTGTCCTTCCTCATCCACATCATCGTCCAAGTAGGCGGATGTGGAACTCCACGATCCTCGTAGCTATTGCATTTTGACAGTAACAATAACCCTGATTATCTTCGATATGATACGTGCTCTTAGTTGCACCTTCTTCTCTAAGCAAACGTTAGCATCTCTGTCAGAGTTTAGAAATAATATCAAAAGTTAGAACAATGACTCTTTAAGATCAATGACTTTTCAGGGATTCCGCCATCTGCTTAGAAAATTCACTCCTCTTCAGAAAAAGCAATACAAATGCGCACCGATCATCAAAGTTCATCTATCCCACTTATCATTTTTGCAAATACGTAAATTACTTCATTGACATATATACACGAAGACACGTAAATTTTTCTTCAGGATTTTTCTCATTCTCTAGAAGTGAACAATAGGCGGCAAATTTCCGACGTACTTGTCAGTAAACCTGCAAACAAGTTTTTGACAATCATAACAATAATATTTAGAATCAACATGTACTAAATTTAGTTTTAATGCCGCTAGTTTTATAATTTTGCTTAAAATGTTAATTTCTTGGTCTCACACCTTCCAGTTCTCATCGGCCGTGGATGAAGGGGGTCAGCTGGGTTCCGGCTCAGGGGTG